GGGGACACGGGATCCACTTTTTGAGAATGATTGAAGTTCGTGAGGCCAGATTTGGGGTCACGGCACATGGGGCTCCCCACCAATTTTCAGCGAACGACCACCATCGCCCCACGCAGCGATTTCTGGCGCCGTGCCCTTCTGACACAGGCCGCGGTCGTGTGTTTTTCAGGAGGCCATCCTGAAAGAGCAGGTCCTAACACTGCAGGTCACCTGCCTTGAAGACTTTGGTCCTCCACACTCTGGATAGTGACACTGGAAGATTGGTGGACCTGGACCTACCGGGACTTTCGAAGCATTTGGGTCGTTTTGCCGATCCGGTGATGTTCCATTGCCGATATGTATACCCTAGCTGGCATGGGGAAGGTTGGTTTCCTTCTTTTCCGAGTTCCTATATCCAATTGTGTTTTCCGGGTCCGCTTTGTTTCACCTTCCTGACGACTGGAGTGAGAGAGGATCCAGGTTCGAGAAAGACCGTCGTACGAGATCAGCGACGGACTTGAAACGAGAGGTGGTGCTTGACTTAAAGCCTGGAATCGTTTTTCCGATGTTCTCCGCATCCGGTGCAGGTGTTATTTGAAACTCAAAGATCAAACAAAACTGAAAACCCAAGAGAAAGATGTGATGTTTTGTGCGGCGAAAACACTGAGGCCGACTTCCGCGAGTTTATCGCGAAGTCCTTGGGGCGTCAGATGGCAGACCATGCCGAGATGGAAGGGCAGGCAGGCGAAGAGTTGCTAGTTTAGCTGGAACTCGTCACATGCGTGGAACTCGTCACACCAACACACCAAGGCATGTTTCATGGCGACCCTTCAACACGGTATGGAATGCATGGCGGTCATGAAACAATGCATTTGGTCTGTGTGCCAGGTGAGGGATTTCAGAAGTTCTGGTCGATGGATCTGCTCAGCCCATCCACAAAACCCGCCCATCCCAAACGAGACGGCCAAAACTGCTTTTGCACACACCTTTGGATGCATTCGCCTGGAACATACGCATCGGCACCACCACTGTCCCCAGTCCACTAAACCACTGATATCTAATTTTTTGTGGTTTGGAAACACATTAGAATTCGTGTTTGGGAACCACCACCAGTGTTTCTTTTGCAGACTTGAAAATGCATTCGCATGGTTGTGGATAGGGATTAGGGTCCTTGAAGGCTGCGAGTGCTGCATGCTGAAGCTGCTAAGGTTGCCAGAGGTGTGAGAATTTCTGCTGGGCTTGCCAGAGCAAAGCCCATTGGTTCTTTAAGATGAACATCCCATGGTTTGCCATTCTGAGTATAGTCACTTGATAGCGCAAAGGATTGAAACAATCGAATCTAGTTCTTGAGGGGAAACACGGCTCACCTTAAGCACATTGTTAAGGGAGCAGACTGACAGAGATGGCCGGGTGTATGTCAGGTTCTTTTCATTCTCTTGCCTTTCAGCAAGTGTACCATTGCTAAATGGAAAAACATTCCCCAGACCATCCATGTATAGCTACACATACGTTTACCCATATTTCCCCCGTTTATGACCCAAAATGTATAGAAGACTATTCCAGACATGCATGGTCTGGGTGAAAAACCCTTCGCCAATTTCGGCAAAACACCGAAGTCGGAGCGCGACATCGAGACCTCGGAGAGGTGAGTCATGCCTTGGCACGGCAGAGCAACTCGGTGGAGGAGTGGCGATTGGCCATCCGGCAGAAAGATGCCGGGAGACCCGGCCCTGGGCGCGCGAGGGTGCACTTGCGTAGCGCCAACGATTTGTCTAGAGGGTGCACACCCCCAATATGCATCAAGAGATGTTCTGAGACTCATATATAACTATATATATATATGTATATAATATATTGATATATATATATTATATTCAGTATAATTATAAATGACCATATTATGTTGTGTATTCCGAAGTCATCTAGCATTTGAATGACAATAATCTTCTGGACCTGAAGGTCAAGGTGATTCTTTCGAGCGCAAGATCTCACTCTGACACCGATTGCCAAAGCTTTTGCCCGATTGGCGGATCCATCCCCAGCGTGTCGCCAGCTTCGCTGCGTCTGTCGTGACCCCAAGAGCCAAAGACCAAACGGACCCTGCCAAGAGCCCAGGCTATGTACCGTAGGAGTTCAATATATGTTAAGTGCTTGACCTGGCGAGTGTAAAATCCGTACAATCCTGGTGCTTTCGGGATTTGGACGCCATGAATCCAAACGGGTGTATGTAACAGAATGAGGATTGAGACCTCCAAGCAATTCGTTTTGGTCTAATTGCTCTTCTTCCAGGGGGTTGTTGCCTGGAAGGTCCCTATTTGATGATGTCTGGGACGGTGGGATTTCCAGGCTCAGATGCAGTCTGAGCTCGAGATGTTAAGCTCTTCCGTCGAGGAGATGAGATCTCTCCTCCCTGCGTGAACGAGACGGAGAGACGGAGAAAGAGCTTCAACTCAACTCACTGAAGAATCATGAAGAATCCATGGGTGACTATGCAAGACAGGCCAATATACTACTTAGTTGGGTACCTCGGTACCTCGGTTTTGGTACTGGAACTGGAACGACGTTTTGAGATTTGACCTAGGGCCAAGAAATCAACTTTGGAAGGAGCCAGTCTAAGGAGATCATAGAGAATCCAGGGCCAGTGAATGTATGACTCATGACGGATGTGCCCTGCTATGCCCATGCGTTTCGCTTTGAGTCCTTACTAATCATGACTCACATAGAGCTAGGACTGTGAGGTGGCTTCCAGGGTGTCCCAGTTGAAGTGCACCAGCAAAACTGCAGTGTCACCTGGTGGGTCAGTCACCCCGCCCATTTCACCCTGTTGACCATGTCTCGAGGCGTTTGCTCATGCTCGGTGGGTTTCGGAAATGGGTCGCCCATGAGACACATCCACCGAGCAGTGTGCCTGTCCGTTTTTCGCCTTCGAGCCATGTGTCAGTTCTTTGGCCTGTTACGATCAATCGTCTGCGATCAGAATTTCGTCCCCAGAGGCATTGTCCATGTCTTTCTGTCAGGTCCCAGAAAAGTGGATCACCTGCTGTCACCTCTTTGGGGAGATTGTGGAAGCCACTAAACATGTCAAGGTGGAAAGAGGATCACCGGTCTTTCCAAACCGGCCTTTGTGGGTGCAACATGGTACAACATCCTGCAAGGGACCCCCTTGCCCCATGAGTTCAAACAACTCCTCTTAATTCCCTATCACTATCACTATGATCCCGATATATCCACATACGCTCACATAATATCACATACTTGTTCATTTCAGGACCCTCCAAACCTACATAAACAATTAAAAAAAACAAAACAAAGCACGTGTCTCCCACCACCCTCTCACAGGGTGTGTGAATCCACAAAGGGAGAAGTCACACGTCCGCTTCACATCGTCGAATTGCGTCGCTCGCGTCCGGTGGGACGAAGTTGGATCCCGAAAACCGACCGAAACAGATCGCTTTTTGCGGGGGGGGGAGCCAATCAGCTTCAAAACTAAATAAAAGTATGGGCCAGTATTTCCCCAGTATAAGGACCAGCATCTTCAAGATTCAGATAGGGGGTTGGCCTAATGAACTATTCCTAGGGGGACCTGTGGGTTAATGGAATAAGTATTCCTAGGGTCTTTTGTGGGGCGGGTCTGGTAACCATCCTCTATGAAATCAGATCTCTCTCAGACAGGGTCAGACGGATGTGAGACCTGCGCACCGCACGCATTGGGACCTGTGGTGAGGACCTGCGGGAGAAGTTGATCTCTTCTCAGGCTGCGATGTTTGGCTGGAGCGCGTTTGAGGGGCAAGTGCTTTATGCACTAAACATATATAAAAGGTGAATATGAAAGTTCACTTGTATTTTCCAGGGAAACTTGGAGTCGCATGTTGATGCTGGATGTCCCATGCCTTCATTGGCAAAGAATTCCTGGTTCTTGGAGGAATCTGGATATATCTCGGCATCTCGGTGATGTTTTTCTGAAAAATCAGCCAGAAAGGTTTATCACCCAGCGGGTTGCTGGCGGACAGGAGCATGCGATCTGATATAATTGGATGTGCTCCGGCTCGATCGTTGGAATTGTACTGGACAGCCTCCCAAAACCAGCCTCTTGCGGTAGCTTGATCATTCTTTGGATCCTTTGGGTCTTACACAGCCAGTATCCTTTGGTCAAAACGTAATACAGTATGCACCTGAAGTATGTATGGAAAGAGTATCTCCTTTGGATGTCAAAACCCCAAATCCATCCCCCAGATGCACGTTTGCTTCGTTCTCGTGGCGTGGGTCGTGCAGACCGAGTTGGGAGACTTGGGAGAGTTGGTGTCTCAGCGTGTCAGTGTCATTGGACATCCAGCGCCGTATCAGAAAAGACGAGATGAGCTATATTCAACTATATTCAACTATCAACCTACCCAGAATTCAGGCTCAGAATACAGGCGGCAGGCGCCCTTGGGTGCCACCCATGTCTGCGGCTCACCCGGTGGTCAGGCGGAGCTCCGAGTGCGCCTGACCGGTCTCGAGATCCGAGTCGGGCGCCTCGGTCGGGAACCGGGTGACACTGTACGTTCGGACCCACCGGTGTGGGGTGAATGGACACTCCTTATATCAGCTCTATAAGGGGCAATAGAAGCCCTGTAAAGAGGGTCCTGGTATACACCCCCCCTCAATACATTTGTTTATACACGTGTTACCGTATTTTAAGTCGTGGCTTTGTTGGACAAGATTCCCTAAGAACAGTGGAGTTGAGCTTGTGATATGGCGCCATGGTTTCATATTATGCTTGGAATTACTTGGATACTAATTAATCTTGACATTGATTATGTTGACGCACACCTCCATGGTTGCTTTGAAGGTTCATGTCAGTTGGTCGAATGCCAGCTGCCCTTTACGGCACGAGCGCCCTCAGGAAAAAGTAGGGTCCGTGCGCCATCAGTGACGCTTAGCGGAGGTGCTTTGTGGAGAGAGGGTTCGAGCTTTTTTCGCTTTGTTCCTGGTCCGGAGAAGATCAGGTTATGAGCCCAAAGCGGGCCTAGCATCCGCTGATGATGCAGCATCGAAGGCGGCAAGCGACTGCCGAAGAGCTGGCACAAGGTCAGAGGGAGATGAAGGCCGCCGAGGCCAGAATGAAGAAAGAAGGGAAGAAGAGAGGTGAGCTACCTCTCGAGGACGGGGTGGCCGAAGGGTCACAGGGTGGAAAAGGACCACCAGGTGGGGATGCGACGTCCACCGACCTGGTCTCGACAAGGTCACCCACTCTCACAGTCCCGTCAACTGAGGATAGCCACTCTAAGGTCTCAGCCGCGACTTCATCGACCCCGAGGCCAAAGACTGAAGCTCCGAGTCCAGGAAAGCCAAAGAAAGAAGAAGAAGCTCACATGAGGACCCCGCAGGTGTTGGGTCCGAAAGCCATCCAGGACCAGCAGGGTGAAGATGGAAAGGGAAGTGTGAAGGGAGGTGGTGTTGGTGGGATCCCCGAAGAAAGTGAAGTCCCTGAACAGCACTCCATTTGCACACCACCGTTGTTCACGCCAGCCCAGCTTGATGATTTGCACCGAGTTCAACAACAGGCACCATGGCTTTATGCCAAAGTCGGCACGCCAATGTACGACACCCCAATGCACTCCATCCTCGACAGACCAGCCTTCCTCGAGCAAGAAGTGTGGAAAGGAAAGGGTGGAAGAAGGGATGATGAAGAAAAAGAAAACCTGATGTTGCGGGTCCATGAACGAATGGAGTTCGAGCGTCAGGAGAAGGAAGAAATGATGATCCAGATGCAGCAGCTCCTCAGCGAGAACAATGCTTTGCGAGCTGAGATGCAAGCAAAACCAAAAGGACCAATGGGCGGTCCGACCATGGCCGATCGACGAATCAGCCACCTTCTGGAGGAGAATCAAAGACTCCACCAGGAAGTCAGAAGGCTGTCATGGGTTCAGCCGACCTCGAAAGAAGATGATCCTGTTTTTGCAACGCCAAATGGCAGCTCCGGATGCGATGAACATGCTGGAGGCCGCGGAAGAACAAAGACAGGAGTGGAAGAAGTGCCAGAAGATCGACCTCGTGAAGGTGATGGCAAAGGCAAAGAAGCCGGCCGGGAGGCCACAGGAAAAGGAAGGGGAACGAAAAAGAAAGAAGGTTCCCTAGAAGATGATTCAGTGCATCAACAGACCCTCAATGTGATCTTGAAGGTTGTTGAGGGGATGCAGAAGATTCAAGATCGGATGTCGCAAGGTGGCTCTACAGGTCAAGACCAAGACCCGGAGACGGTGCGACACAGTGTGGACCTGCCAAAGCTGGCAGAGTGGAATGGAGAGTCAGCCCCGATTGACTTCTCGGACTGGCTTTTGCTCTTAGCTCCTCTGATGGCTGACCTCACACCCAGTTCAGAGGAATGGTGGACTTTGACCTTAGAAGAAGCCCGCCAATGGTACCAGAAGCACCTTGTGAAATCTCCCTTGGACAGGCTCACACACCAGATCGTGCCAAGCACCAAGCTTTCGATGAGGAAGTGGTCCCGCTTGGAGAAGCGAGCAACTGCATTGCTGCTGAGCGCTGTCCCAGAGGCCTTGAGAGAAGAGGTTGTGTCATCGAAGAGTTTGACGGCCTTTGGAATTTTGGTGAAAGGCATGATTGCCTATCAGCCAGGAGGACTGGCCGAACGACAAGCAATCCTGGCTGCCTTGGAAAGCCCTGCAGAAGCTTCGACCGTCGGCCAGGGCATCGTCACACTTCGAAGATGGTTGAGGTGGAAGCGAAGAGCAGAGGAGGTGGGAGTTTCAATTCCAGACCCGACCATTTTGGCTAGGGGTCTTGGACGCCTCATGAAGAAGCTCATCACGATGTTCCCTGAGCTGAACTTCCGACTTCAACTGGTCCGAAGCTCCTTGATGGTTGATGCTGTTCCAACCCACGAGTCTGTGTCCAAGTACAGTGAGCATTTGTTAGCAGAATTGGAACAAATGGGTCACCAAGCACGAAAGAAGGACTCAAGTGGGGAAGCGCCGAAGAAGTTTGAAGAGCAGCCCAAGGATTCCAGAGAAGGAAGAACAAGAAAAGAAGGCGAAGAGAAAGAAAAGCCAAAGTGCAGGTTTTACCTCTCTGACCAAGGATGCAGGAGGGGAAAGTCGTGCACGTTCTCACACGAACAGAAGGATGAAAAGAAGCGGTGCTGGATTTGCGGATCACCAGAGCATTTCGCGCCAGCCTGCACAAGGCCAAAGGAAGCCAAAGAAGGTTCGCCCCGGCCCAAGATCTCGAAGGCAGAGAAGGAGAAGGTCGGAAAGAACAAGAGTGAAGATGAGGAAGGCGAAGAAGTGCAGCCCTCCATAAAGGAGTTGCTGAAGGAAGCCAATGACATGCTGAAGGGCATGAATGGAGGACCAAGTCCAAGTTCCTCCAATACGTCTCCATCATCAAAGGGTGGGGACACGTCAGAAAGATCCGAAGTGGTGGAACGTCTCCAGCAGCAGCTCAACGCTTTGAAGCAGAAGACCTTCAAACTGAGGCGACTCAAGAAAGGTGAGCGACAAGGTCTTCTCGACTCTGGAGCCACTCATCCACTTCGACCTGTGAAGAAAGGTGAAGATGTTGAAAGTTACAAGAGGGTTCAGGTAGCCCTAGCAGATGGACAAGTCACCAGTCTCCCTATCTCTCCAGGGGGAGCCATGGTCTCAGCTGACGCCGACATCGAGCCGATCATCCCAATGGGGCTCCTGACTGAAAAGCTGGGGTGTTCCGTGATTTGGTCAAGAAGTCAACTCAGGGTAGTCCACCCCTTGCGAGGAGAGCTGCCTGTTGAAGATCAAGATGGATGCCCTCAGCTGCCACGACAAGTGGCCCTGGACCTCATTGAGGAGCTCGAGAAGGTGAAGAAAGGAATGAAGTTGAAGGAAGAGAATGATTTTGAATGGGAGATCAAGTGGATGGAAGACTATGTGAATGCCCATCCCGTCTTGAGCAGACTTCCCAAGGAAGTGAAAGAATCGCTGGTGGTCAAGCCGGGTGAATGGTCAGATCTCCCAGCCAACAGAAGAAAACGAAAGGCCATGAAACGAGATGGCTATGTGTGCCACTTGTACGCAGGAGCTGATGAAGGATTCACCTTTGAAAGAGCCTGGAAGCAGAAAGGAGGTGAAGAACGAGAGCTCCTGGAGGTGGACATCAAAAGAGGCCCAGGCCATGACATGCTCCTGGACCGAGGACCCTATGCGGGACTAGTGAGGTCCGTGTGGGAAGGGAAGCTTCTTGCCTTGCTAGGAGGCCCAAACTGCAGGACACGAAGTGTCATGAGGCACAAGCAGGTCGATTGGACCACTGCAAGACCCATCCGAAAGTGGGGCGGCGAAGAATTTGGGGTGAAGGATGCTTCAAGTGATGAGCGCCGCAAGCTGTTTGAAGATGATGTTTTGCTTTGGAGGATGATCTTCCTGGCCATGCTCGACAGCTCCCTCAAGAAGGCAAGAGAAGAAACTGAAGTCATGGGCTTTGGCATTGAGCAGCCAGCCAGCCCGAAGGACTACAACCCTGAAGTGGTGTCGTTTTGGGACACTACAGAATGGAAAGATCTTCAAAAGGAATTTGGATGGAAGGAGGTCACGTTCTTCCAGAAGCCGCTCGGTGGTGCTGCAAAGAAGCCAACAACAGTCGCTGGAACCCTTGAGCTGATCCCTGAGGAATTTTCCACCAAGACTGTCAGCCATGCTCTGGTTCGAGGATCCTGGGAACTGGCACGGTGGCCTCCGGGGATGATGACTATGTTGGCAGAAGCAGTGATGACCCAAGTGATGAAGAAGAAGGCCAAAGCATGTGTTCTTTCGTGGTCTGAACACATTGCCCTGGGCCACACACCAAGCAGGAGAGACTGCAGAATCTGCCAAGAAGCGAGACAGCAGTGTTCACCTCATCGCCAAGTCCAACACAAGCTCGCTGGAGTCCTCTCTCTCGACACAGCTGGCCCGTTGAAGCCCGCCTATGATCTAGGAGGATTCCAGTCAAGATACTTCCTAGCAGGGACACTCACTTGGGCGGTTCCATGCACGGTGGATATCAAGGGACAGGGGGAGGAACAGCTGTCTGAAGAAGGTCAAGAAGAATGGCCGCCAATTGAAGAAGATTCAAAGGACGATGAAGAAGGAGAAGATAAGGCCGAGGTGGAGGAAGGAGATGAAGTCCTACATGGCCTCACCGACGCTGAAGAAGAAGCAGGTGAAGATCTGTTGGAACAGATCCATCGAGATGAAGAAGAAAGAGATGATGAACTTGGAAAGGCAGAAGAAAAGCCACCAAAGGACTTCAAGATCGAGACCTTCAGGTTAGCATTGCCTATGCATTCAAAGAAGGCCAAAGAAGTCACAAGGACGACAATGGACATGCTGCTGAGATTGAGGATGGACGGATACTCCGTCGCTCAGATACACACTGATCAAGGCCATGAATATGCAGGCCATTTCCATGGCTGGACAAGGCGGCGGGGAATCATCCTAACCAAAACTGCAGGGGACGAACCCCAGTCCAACGGACGTGCAGAGGCAGCAGTAAAAGCACTGAAGTCGATGGTGCGGAAGGCCTTACATCAGGCCAAAGAAACTTCGAAGTGGTGGCCATGGGCTCTAAGACACTGCAACAAGGTTCTCAGAGCGAAAAGGCTCCACCAAGTTCCCAACTTCCCGCCCTTCCTGACGGAGGTCATGGTAAGGAGAAGGAGATGGAAGCGCGATGACCTGGGCCCAACAAGTGAACGGGTGAGGTATCTCTGTCCGTCCCCTGAGAACCACGGACACTGGATCGTGAGGGACGATGAAAGACCAAGGCTCACAAGATGCTATATGAGGAGGTTGGAAGATCCACCAACAGAGGGACATTGGATCGCCCTGGAAAAGGAACTTTTGGATGGGCTATCTCTCAGGAGGAGGATCCGAGGGAAGACTGCAGTCAAAAAGATCCAGAAGGAACAGGGGGAGGTTGAGGAGAAGGAAGAAGAAGCAAAGAGAAGGATGCGAAAGGTCCTAGAAGAAGAAGCCCTCTTGTCAATGGAAGATTCACCTCAACTCGCAGTCATCAATGCTCAGTTGATTGCTCGCCTCAGGAGATCTATGGTGGCGGCAGAGGTGGAAGAAGAAGAGGTGCTACAAACAAGGATCGTGTCAGCCAAGGAGGTGGCTCAGAACTGGGAAGCATGGAAGCCAGCAGCAGGTGAAGAAGTCATCTCACTCGTCGAAGAAAAGCTGGCCTTGCAGCCGATTCCCAAGAAAGAAATGAAGGAACTCATCGAAGATGCTGAAAAGAGGGGGATTCGAATAGAGTTGATCCCATCCAAGCTCGTGTTCACGAGAAAGCCTGGGAAGAAAGGAGGAAAGAAGAAGGTCCGCTGGGTAGTCTGCGGCAACTTTGAAAGCAAAGATCCCAATGAAGACAACTTCTCAGGTGGGGCTGACTCTGCTGCCCTTCGCATCATGATTTGGGTTGCCTCAGTCCATCAATGGGAAGGAAGTGTCCTGGATGTCAAGACAGCCTTCTTGAATGCCGAGATGGAACAGAAAGAAGATCAACAGTTGCTATTGGTGTGTCCACCATCTTTCTTTGTGGACAGAGGCTTCCTTGACAAGGACACCTACTACCTCCCAAAGAAAGCCGTCTATGGCTTCAGACGCTCGCCTCGGTTGTGGGGGGAGCACAGAGACAAGACGCTGCAATCGCTCGAGATTGACATCCCCGATGAAGCTGGAAGGGTCAGTCAAGTGCAGCTGACTGCGATGGAGTCCGAGCCAAACCTGTGGCGGATAGTGCAGAAGGATGAAGATGATGAAGAAGGGAGCCAACTCCAAGGACTTCTGATGACCTATGTGGATGACATCTTCATCACTGCACCAAGTCGAATTCTCCAAGCGGTGGAAGAAAAGATTAGGTCAACGTGGACGACCTCGACTCCAGAGAGGATCAGTGAGAAGCCGACGAAATTCCTGGGCATTGAGATCATGAAGCAGGTCAATCAAGAGACCCAAAGGGATCGCTGGCTGGTGACTCAACAGTCTTTCATCACCGATCTCTTGGAGCAGGAGTCTGAAGTGCCGAAGCCGAGAAAGATCCCGATCACGAAGGACCAGTCGGTCATGGAAGAAGATGATCCACCACCCACAGCTGCTGAAGTCAAAGGAGCACAAAAGGTGGTGGGAGAATAGTTGTGGACGGTGACACGGACAAGACCAGATCTCATGTACACCGTGTCACGAATGGGATCAAATGTCCTCAAGGCCACAAGGGCCATCCAAGAAGCAGCTCAACAGGTCAAGGGGTACCTGTGGAGGACCAAAGAAGAAGGCCTCGTTTTTGAGGAAAAGGCCGATGAACAGGCCATCATCCACGTCTACACGGACGCCAGCTATGCCCCAACTTCAGAAGAGTCACATGGATGCAGCATGGTCTTGCTTGGAAGCACTCCAATCCTTTGGAGGTCTGGCCGCCAAAGCTCCATCACCCTCAGCACAGCAGAAGCAGAGTTGAATGAAGTTGTTGAAGGCATGACAGCCGGTGAGTCCATTGGTGTGATCATCGATGAAATCTTCGGGCCAACCACTCGTATGGCCTGGACTGATAGCAAGTCTGGACTCACCATCCTTACCACAGAGGGTGGGAACTGGAGAACCAGACACCTGAGGATGAAGTCGGCATACGCCAGGCAGGTGATCTTGGATGGATTGTGGAGCCTGAACCACATCCCAGGAGAGGAGATGATCGCCGACGCTGGAACGAAGCCATTGTCAGCACCAAGATTGGAGCAGCTCAAGAGGAGGATGAACATGGGTACACTCCTAAAGGTGGCTGCAAAAGAAGAAGAAGAAGATGTGAAGAGAAAAGAGGAAGAAAGTCAGGAGCCAAAGGAGCTGAGGGAAGAAGCAGAAAGAGAGGAGGATCCGGAGACTCAAGCCGGGAATGGAGAAAGAAAGAAAGGAAGTGAAAAGGCCGCCACGATTTTGAGGCTCATCACGATGGCCGCTACGCTCACAAAAGCGAAGGGCCAAGAAGATGAAGAAGATGAAGATCTCACTTGGTGGGAATGGATGGCATTGATGTTCTTCATTGTGGCCATCCTGGGCGCCCTGTGGTTATGTCTGAAGGAAGGAGTACCACAGTCAAGCCGATCACGAAGTGATGACGAGCAGACAGTGCGAAGTCTTCCCAGACCACCACAGGGGAGCACCGTGAAGCTAAGAACGATGAGAAGAAAGGAAGAAAGTGAAGATGAAGAAGAAGAAATGAAAAGGCCGGCCCACCTTCCTTCGCCAATTCAGTCTCCAGTGCCTCTTGCTCCAAGGACGCCACGACAGACGGCATCCGAATGGCTTCACACTCCAACTCAGTCTCCAGGCCAAGCTCACATTGCCTCACACTTCACCCAGTCTCCAGTGACGCAAGTCACAATCTGGGGAAGACCGTCTCCATCGCCACAGCCTCGAGGCCAGGTGAGCTCAAGGGGCCAAGAGGTGGAGCGAAAGAATGAGAAAGAAGAAGAGAAAAAGAGAAGGGAGGAAGAAGAAAAAGAAAGGTCAAGAGGTGCCGCATCATCATCCGATCCGGCATCCGCAGCCACAACACCAGCCAGAGTACAAGGAGGAGGAAGGGGCCAAGCAGCTCCAAAGAGAAGTCCAGCCGGACCAACACCTTCGGCAGGAGATGAAGAAGATCCTGTCGTCCTCACGACGAGGTTCGGAAGGGCCCACCATGGGTCAATGGAATGTGGGTACATCCGGGCACCACGGACAGGGGAAGTCCGTCGCTCCAGATGGTGTCCGGAGTGCAAGAAGAACATGGTGATCTCCAGAGATTGGAATCTCTGGACGAACTACTGGGGTGGCTACGCCCACATCAACAGAGCATGCTCCAAGCTGGACCGAGGTGAAGTCTTGCGGTACACTCCATGCTCGCAGTGTGCCACCCTGGAGAGTCAAAGGGCAGGTTGAGCTGGAAGCAGGCCTACAGAGACCTGCGATTTTGAAGATCGCAACAGCCAAGCGGCTGCACGAAGGGGGAGTGTTGACGCACACCTCCATGGTTGCTTTGAAGGTTCATGTCAGTTGGTCGAATGCCAGCTGCCCTTTACGGCACGAGCGCCCTCAGGAAAAAGTAGGGTCCGTGCGCCATCAGTGACGCTTAGCGGAGGTGCTTTGTGGAGAGAGGGTTCGAGCTTTTTTCGCTTTGTTCCTGGTCCGGAGAAGATCAGATTAAACAACAATACCTGGATGGTCAAACATCTCCAGGGCCTCAGTTGGGTCAACCGATTCATCAACAGTCACCATGCAGGGCCTGGGTGGTTGCATTTGGAATGATTGTGTTATCTTGTTCTGGAATCTTGGTTTAACTTGTGGGGTCTTCAGGCATCCTCGACAATCCTCCCAATTTAGCACGGAATCAGGATGTGGCAGATGAAATTCCAGCAACAATGGCTTTCGGTCTCGTCTTCGAACGGACAATCCCTTCCATTCCACTCAAGAGTTGTGAATCCCTGCCTATGTCGGTGGAAATCAACTCGAGAAGCAGGCAACAAAGCAGGGGTCCCAAACTGGTGGGTTTTGGACCGTATCAGTCAGAGTCAGAGTCCCCCGATTCAGTGAACGAATTCTAGATTCTATACCTTCCCAAACCACTCCTTTTGGGAAAACGTGGAAAGCCGTTTTAAAAACCGTGCCAAAGGCTCAGACATTTAGAGAGCGATTAGACCAACGGAGCCAGGCCCAGGATCAGCATTGTACACCCGGGGAGTCTGACTCACATGGACCCTGATGGACCGTGTAAAAGACGACCATGTTCCTCTACAAAACCAGTGGTTTTGAGATGTTTTGAGGTTTCATTGTGGATCTCTTCTTTTGGTTTCTTTGTGGATCTCTTCGATCTCTTTTCTTTTGGTTTCGTGTTCAGCTGCGCGTTTAGATTGGTTGGTTAAGTCGGGGACATGGGTTGTCAACCAGGACAATAACATGCAACCACGTTTGACGGTTGCTTGCCCTTCCTGGTAGTGCTAATTATCTAGACTAAAGCTATCTAAAGCTGATATAATGTAGCTAATCCAAGGAAATAGACTAGAGCCAATCAAGATGAAAACAGCTAATCTAAGGAAGTAGACTAAAGCTAGTGAAGAAACACAAAGCTATACTATAGACTATAATGAAACAAGTCAAGCTAATGAAACTGGAAAGTAGACTAAAGCGAGTCAAGAGAACGTACAGCCAATCCAAGCAACTAGACTAACATAATTACATAAGACAGATGAATAGAGCTTATCCAAGGCATTATACCAAAGCCAGTACCGATGAATCAAGCTAAACTAAAGAAGTAGATGAAAACTAATCTAGATGAATCTAATCCAAGGAAGTGACTAAAGCTATAGTAAATATGAATACATCTATATAAGGAAGTAGACTAAAGCTAATGCAGATAAACAAGGCCAATCAAAGAAAGTAGACTAGAGCTAGTAAAGATGATTCAAGCGTACAAAGTTAATCAACTTTGACCGATCCCCAAACCCTTTACAGCCTAGGCCGGTCTGCCACAAACGAACTAGAGATCTCTAAGACGCTTCAGAGGGAAATCCACGATCATGTCTCTATTGGTTGGGACACAACTTTGCACCGCAGACCACCCCTGTGTCCGCAACAATATCCAACCGGTCCAATCTACTTTAAACATAACAGCGATTTGCGCAATAAGTTATTCTTCGGTCGCAAAAAAGACATCACTCCTTCATCGTCTCCTCCGTTGAGTCCGCCCGATGTGTCTTCCGAGGGGGACGGCCTGGCCAGTGGGCGGGAGCCTTGCGATGCAGAGGGCGCCTACATGGCCCAGGTGCGGTGAGTTTCAGGTGACGAAGGTCCGACACACAGTGACGATTTGGTATATACGTTGGGTTTGCCCCAGTAAACCTGTAACAGTCGGTAAACAATTATCAATTGTCCCAATTTTTAGAGTCAGGCCTTTATTATCCTTTATTAGTCATCATTATCATCATCATCATCATCATCATCATCATCATCATCATCATCATCATCATCATCATCATCTTCATCATCATCATCATCATCATGATCGTCATCCACTGGGCCCTGGTAATGGGATAGATCCAAGGATATACGCTTGGAACTAGCGGACGTGGACCTTACGGAATCCAACTGCCCAAAGAATCCGGCCCGAAGCGACAGGGTTTGGTTCGGGTCCGGATCCCCTGCGTTTCGGTGTCGCGTCCGAGCCCTGCCATGGAGGGCCCGTGCGGATTCTTAGGGCGAGTGTAAACTTGTAAAGGGAACCTGCAATGGACATGTTGAATTTGCCACAAACGGGTTGCAATGGACTCACCTGTGAGTTGTTCTCTTTTGAACGAAGATGCGACCGAAACAGCCCCACTGCGATCTGTGCCGATGTCTAACGAACCCGGGGGTATCGTTGCTATTTGGTGGTGAGGGACGTACACTCCCTGAAAGATCCTGAAAATAATCATGGAGTCATGGAGTTCACCAAGTGTTTGGTATTATTCGGAAAACTCCGAAGACTGTCATTGTTTCATGGCCCTGCCATCCACGTGAGCGTGAGGACCTTTCAGGGAGTGTATGCTTGCGTTTCTTGCGTCTTCTGTGGCTTGTTTCTTCAAACCCATCCTCAAATCCTTGAGATCACACAGCCTTCAGACCGCATTCTTCGCCAGTCCTTGGAATTCTTGAAGCAGCACGTCGACCGACTACAGCAAGGAGTGGAGCGGATCACACTTGAGGGAGCCCTGTACATAAAACACGGTTTTTTAGATTGACATTTAAGCCTGCACTCATCCAAGACTGGACTCCTCAACCAACATGGATGATTTTATGTTTTATGGTGGAAAGAAGACTAGACTAGAAAAGAGAACGTTTTGTTTCAGAAAGCAAATTCCATCAAATTCCTCTCCGAGATCAGTCGTGAAACAAAACCTTCTGGTCGTGGTTTCTTGTTCGATTTGGTCGGCCCCAGTGGTTCAATGCAGAGTGGACAGTGCCTATTATCCCTATAGCCTTTAAGGACCTTTAAGAGAGTTCAGCAGACCTGGCTTTGTAGACCTGGCTTTGTAGTCTAATATCCTTAGTACAACAAGGGTCGTTTATGGTCGTTTGGTTATCAAAGAAAGCACATAACATACATAAAGGTGGCGGTCAGGAATTGATTTCCCCTGACGCCATGACAGCCATCGGGAGCGGATTGGTGTGGTGCCAGGCTCCATTCATGCGGGTGCTGCTTTGTCTGAGTTACAAGCTCGAGTGGAAGGAGAGGGATTTGGGAGTGACTCCGGCTGGGAAGAGTGATTCTCACACTCCTGCGGTACTTTTGCAATGGCATTCAGAACCCCCACTTTGAAGCTTTGAGTATGTTCAGCAAGCGACCCCCAGTGATGTAGCTTTGAGAGTGCTGATCACCACTCTTTGTGGGCCATCCAGGCTTTGAACCCTAACCCAGCAGGCCGCCTTTGTTTGTTCCCCACTCCTATAGGAGAGGCGGCCGCGCGGGCCGCCGCGCAACAAGAACATACCTCGAGGCTGGAGGCGCTCAATCAGGCTGGGCTGCGGACTGTGGTATTCTTTGCGCAGCTTGAAGTCAAGGTGGGCGAGTGAATTGAGAAGTACGGTATATCGTGTATACCAGGAGTCACAAATGAAATGGGTGGTGTTTAGTGCCTAAGTGAGTGGGTAATGGGCACCCCTATCCTCCAATAGGCACCCCTTTGTGACTGCTGGTATGTATATATATATAGTTATATATATATAGCATATATCGATTGAGTACATTGACCAGAACGGAACTCTTGTGTTGGAGTCCCAACAATGTTGTTGTCTCTGATCAAAACATGGGGTATCAAATAGAGCATATACAAAGCAGTACTCTAGGACGAACACCCACAGGACAAGGACTCATCTAGGATCCAGCGGTGAACCGATCCATAGGTGCTGGACTCCGACTTTTCTCATCGGACTCATGGCCTACTCGTACCCCAACAACTGCCCCAATACCTACATTGACCCCGAAACAACTACCCCTGGCCTGGCCGGTCAATCTGCAAGTAATTTAATTGAACTGTCTGACCTGTCAAGCATCACCACGCGGTCCACGCCACGGAGGGTGTTTTGCGATTTCTATCGGTAGTCGGGCCGTTTCGTTCCAGGCCTTGGGCTTCTCCCGCGCCCTGATGGCTCAATCCATCGCACAACGGGTGGAGGCAGATGTTTTTTCTCCGAGGTGGGAGGAGGCCTTTTCCCACATGCACGAGAGCCTCGTGGCCGAAGTACTGGAAAAGTGGAACATGCACGCAGCTTCTTGGAGGGATTGGGAGACACTCCAATTATAAAATCCCTACCCATCTATCCATTTTTGAGGTATCAGACCTAGGAAATTGTAACTTACAATTAGGTGACGCTCCCCCTAGGAAATCAGGGATATTCTAAAGGAACAGGTGGAAGAATTGGGTGACACTCCCTGAAATCATCCATGGGTGTCCCCTCCCGTGCATGGAAAACGACCTCAAATGGATGATCAATGATGATCATGATCATCCATGTTGCCAACAGGTGGTGTTCACTCCACTTCCAAATTCTGATTTCAAGCTTGTGTAGGTCCCAGATTTCGGGACTGGTGAAACAAGTTTAGGTCTTCCACCACCCAGCTGGCCAGTTCTCAGCTCTCAGTAGTCTCGACCGGAGCCGCTGGGACCGGTGTTGCAGGGGCCGAGGGCCTTCCGTCGATGACGGAATCACCATGAGTCAGGATGCGCCGATTTCATTCATCGCGAGAATTCCCACCTGCCTGTCACCTGCCTGTCAGCTACAAGTAAGAACTTTTCCTATGACTCCAGTCATAGCTCCTCAGGTTCGGTATGACTGGACCCTCCTGGCACTCACCCCAGTCCCACCTTCACCGAAACGAAGCTACGACTGGAGCCCAGATGGGTATACGTTGTGCTGTGGGTTCATGGAGCTTCCGACTCTCAAGACGGGAACCCCTCCTCCGGTCATACATGTATCAAGCTATACACTGGGGTGCCAAAAGTTGCGCTTCTTGACTTCTAAAACATCACAA